AAAACAGAATAACTCTTCCCTCTCAGGCTGTTGCTGTTGAAGTTTCTATTAAGGATATCTTCATTTGATCATTAATATGCCGTGTATCCATCTTTGGCACTTATTTTTTTCAGAGAAATCAAGCTCATTTTTTGAAGCGCGTCCAGCCAGGTTATTTCCCATGGGGAAGATTGGCTGTGGAGAAGGCAACCTCTTTATCAGCTGCTTGTTGGGGGTGGAGAGCGAGCTCCAGGAGATAACGGCTCTGATTTCTGTTCCATTCCACTCCGTTCTGTCAGCAGCTTTTTCAGCCTGGGGTCCCTATGACCCAAAGTGATTATCTGTCTCATTAGCAGTTCAGGGGAGTTAGCCATCAGTGTTTGATGACCTATTCCCAAAGTTTTCAGTAGCTTTAGAAGTTTCTTAGAGTACCCCAAAGCAGTGTTTCTCAAAGCGTGCTTTAGAATCTCTGACCACCCTGTCTTGGGAATCAGTTCCCTTGTGGATGGGACTCTGCAATCCAGACACACTTCCTAGTGCTCTGGTTCTGATGTAGAGCTGGGAAGCCAAGGCCAAGCCCACCCCAAGAGGATGAAGAGCCATGGGAATAATCTTTAAAGCCTCCTTGTTTCCCTGTTATAACGTATGGGAATTTTTGTCTCCTGTTCTATGATATATCCAGAATAATATTAACATTTAAAATGAATTACATTGCCCTAGCTGCTGTGGCTTAGTTGGTTGGGTGTTGTCCTGCAAAGCAAAAGGTGACTGGTTCGATACCTGGTCAGGGCACATAACCGGGTTGCAAGTTCAGTCCCTGGTCAGGGCATGTGTGAGAAGCAACCAATTGATATCTCTCTTTCTTTCTCCCTTTCTTCCCCCTCTCTAAAAATAAATAAAATCTTTAAAAAATGTCTCTAAGTGCTTACCTAAATTTCAAATAAATAAATAAATGAAATGAATTACATTAACGTGGAATAAATTTGAACCTCTACAGAGATTGTGTGCTTTAGTGTCAAACTGCTTACTTTGTAATCTTGGCCTCATGAATTGCTATCTGTGTGACCTTGGGCAAATTTAGCCTCTCTGTCTTGCCTAAAATAGAGATAGTAATAGTACCTACCTTTGAAGGTTGTTGTGAGGATTAAATAGGATAGTAGAAGGAAGACGTTTAAATCCATGTACAGTGATTAAGCAGTCAATGACCAATTAACAATGATGTTCTTGCCACTATTATCCTGAGGTTTCGTGAGTGTAACCACCCCACTTGCCAAATCGAGTCCTGCAGCAGGACCAAACATCCCACTCCCCATAGACACAGCCAGACACAGGCTTATTAAAAAGCAAAAAACAAAAAAAACCTTTGCCATCCATAGGAAGCCTCAACAGAGCACTGGGAAAATGCTTTCTGATAACAGATTCTCAGTCACATTCTAGTTTTAGTTCTCTGAGGACCCTGTGTGAAGTGTATAGCATGACTATTCTTAGGTAGTCAGAATCTGTCTCAGGTTGGGGGGGAAGTATGAGTTTAGAAAATGTCAGGCACTCGAAGTTGTTTTAAGCAACTGTTTGTTTTTCACTCAATCTGCACTCTACTCTCTGCACCGCCCCCCAGCTATTCTTGTTTAATGGTTGGGAAAGAGGGCTCATCACACTTTTCCTTTCTAAAGGTACACATCTCAAATCGATTCCCTTCCAGAGATTACTGGGATTACCACTGTTTACCTGTTACTTTGCTACTTCAGTCTAGGATGGTGAGGGATGCCAGAGTGGCTCACAGGGTATTACGGGGAGGGGCCATGTTTCTGGGAGCCAGGCTGGCCCTCCCGTGGCTTATAACCTTGTACTAGGAAGCCCTACTTTGGGACAAGCACTCAGCAACACCTTTGCCCCCAAGTATCCTCTCCCCTTCAGCGCAGTTAGCGTGGAAGGCCAGCTACTGATTTCCAGAGATGCTGCGTCCTCAAACATTTCCCCTGGTCTATGTAGATTCTGCTTTCCTGGTTTTGTACTCACTTTTCTCATAGACAAATGGTGAGGGATCTTGGGCCTCTTTTCAGATATAGGAGTATATTGACTTTCAGGGTTGATACTTTTTGGTCTCATCCCTCCTCCCTTATTAAATGCAGCTGGGAAGGATCTTCGAGGAGGAAAACTCATTCTGTAAGGAAAACACCATCTCAAGGCTGCTGCTTTTTTTTTTTTTAAATCTATTTTGAGTTTATTCTTGTGTTACTTTTTAAATGTAGTGCTCCCTCCCTCTTTTCTCTCCTTCCCAGAATAAGAGCTGCCAATAAAACTTTAGGATTCTTGAGATGTATTTATCTCTGTTGTGATGGACAAAGGAATTGTCAACTCTTCTGTATTAATACCCTTTACCCCCTTGCAAATGGGAATTACAGGAAATCATAACTAGAACAGAAAACCTTGGGCAGATGGGAAAGATGGAATGTGTAACCCCCGTTCCCAGAAACAGGCAGAATGGCCACGCTGCATGACCCTAGCCTTCGGTGGTCAGGGAGCTAGAGCATGGCTCCAAGATAATGTCACCATCTGGGAATTGAAACCTGAGTCCACCTGTTCTCTGACTTTTATGTCATCATCACTGTGCCCCTCCTTTCCAGTCATTAACCAGCCCCTGCCAGTTCTTTCTTCTGTAGGTTTCTGTCACCACCAGCTCCCTGGTCAGACCTCATCAGCCTGTCTGGCCTCTGAGGCTGCTTTAGTCTCGCTTGCCAGGTTCATCTCCTGTGAACATTGTTCTTGTCTCAAGTGAGATGAGGTCAGAGAATGAAGAAGCCCTGTCTGTGTGGGAGGTAGTATCGCCAGCCCTTCCCATGGGGGCGGGCTCCTTGAGGGCGAGGACCATGTATTCTGGGGCCTCTCACATAGTAGGTCTTTAGTAAATGATTATTGAATTGGATTAGGTTGAGTTTACTGCTCAAGAATTTTCATTGGCTCCCTACTACTTACTGAATCGAGGCTGAATTTCTCTGCCTGTTTTTTTCATGACTGTACAAACTGGACTTGCTAAAAGAATTCAGTTGAGTGCTTAATACTTTGTGATAGATACTAGGGGAACTATAAGAATTGTAACATGCCCTGAAGGATCTCAAATGGATTTTTTTTCCTGTTCTTCTCTTATTCTTGCCCTATTACCCCTATCTTTCCCCATATGTCCCCCAAATCCCCCAATTTATCATTTTGACTTCAGTCTCCAGCCCCAGAAATTTTCTCTTTTCTCCATATATATTCAGCCCTTAAGACTTTCAGGTCAGGTCTCCCTTTGTTATTTTTTAGGGCCCTCTTTGATTGTCTTGGTTCTGAGTTTTCTTTTTCTTTTCCTGCCTTCATTATTTTGTCACAAGTAGCTGCTTGTTCTTTCTTATTTTCTAATTATTCATACCTCACGATTTAGCATTTTACTGCATCCACCTGGAATGCTGAAATAGATCCTCCTGCCTTATTGTGTGCCTTGATTGTTTGCTGTCTGGATATGCGGCTTCCCCAATTCCATTCAAAATTCTTGGTGAGCTGGGGCCTGGGTCTTCTGTGCATTTTGCAAGCTATCTATAGAGACTGTCAGGAAATGATGATGTATAGGGTAGACAAAGGAACCATTGGAGATGAAAGGTGATCTGACAAGTGCTTAGGGGTGTGGTTCCTAGCAGGATTTGGATGGCCTAAAGCAGAGCACAGGCTGCAGGCAGTAAGACCATGTGTAGGAATTTTAGGGCTCTAGAAACCAAGACCTGAGAGAAAATGGAAAGGACAGATAGGGTCAGGCTTGTCTCCCAAGAGTTCATTCTGAGATTCTCTTGAAGCCCTGGTGGAAAATGTGTGCATCCCAGAAGTAAACCAGGGTTCTTGGGGAATTGTGGGGAGGCCACATGCCTGTGTGGTAGGTAAATCTGCCCAAAAGGTGGGCATGAAAGGTCCCTGGCTATGGGGAAGCTTACAGCTTAAGGGAACAACAGTTAAGGGGTAACAGCGAGCAGACCTGTCAGACTGAGAATTTGATTTATTTGTAATAATGGCATTTGTATAGATTCATCTGGGAAGTTGGAGGATTTGAATGAATTCTATAAATAGAAACATTTTCTTTGCCACTGATGAGGCTTATAGGCTTATATTGCATTTTATTTTGAATGATAGAATCTTGCATGAAATTAAAAGCAGTGTCTCCCTTTTCTGACTTGGCAGATGTTTAAGCATTGTACCCACTCCCCACTCCCCCCACCCCCCACCTCAAACTTCTTTTAATTTTTCAGACTCACCTAGCATTGTGAAATAAGTTAGTAACATCTGTGGGCTGGGACCAGTTTCAGTGAACTAAATTCTTTGTAATCCAGTTTAAATCTGTGGGGCACATCTAAACTTACTGGAATTCTAGGTAGGAAGTATGGTTGTAAAGACAAAGCCATTTAATTGTAGCTTGTATCAAACTAAAACCAGCTTGAATTTTCTCTTCACAAACTTTCTCTGAAACACCTCTTTAACTCTTTCATTTTTGGCAAATACGTATTGAGATGGCAGCCTCCTTACTGTTGTGATGGAGGGGTATAATAAACCAGAGGGTGATTTCCTAGAATCCCTGAGCCTTTGAAAAATGCTGTTCCTTTTGGAAAAGAATAAGTGCAAAAGCCAGACTGCCTGTATCAGATTTACACCCTCTTCCCATTCTCTTCTCAACTAGTAAACTATGGCCTCAGCCTGTCTGCCTAAAAACATGATGGATTATATTTGTTTAAATGTCTGTAGCAGTTTGGTAATGAAGTTTAGCCCTTTAATAATGATGGTGATAATGTTGACATAAGAAAATGTCCACATATGTAGAGAATTTTTATGAGTTTATTCGAGTCAAACTGATGACGTATGCCGGGAAGCAAAATCTCAATGGATTGAGAAAATAATCCTGAGAATGGCAGTTTTGCAGCCTACTTTATACACTAGTATCAAAGGAGGAGGTGTAAGGAGGGTTGCATGAAATTCATGGGTGGTCAGGTAAGGAGTGGGGAGAAAGGATGGGCGGGAGGACTCTCGAGGATTGCATAAAAGGTAAAATGGAGAAACACATAGTTTTACACTGGTGTGGCCAGGAGAGTTAATAATTAACATTTATAGCACATAGAGATGGTGTGCGGGGAACAAGATAAACAGTGAGGGATTCTGTGGTCTTGTGCACTGGTGTCAGCAGTTGTGCTTTCCAGGGGTAGGAAATGAAAATTACTCTGATATTTTAAAGGTGTGTTATCCTAGATGCATAAGAATAATGAACTGAGCTCACTTACGGTAAAGATTGGCCTTTGCAAAGCCTGGTAAGTGACTACCTGCTATGACCTGCCCAAAGTTAGGAATTTGTGTGGTTACTTTACATCTCTGAATGGATGATGAATTGATGATGATGATGTTTGTTAAGCTGCCTCGGGACCCTGCTTATTAGCCTGTCAGGTTTCTTGCATAGCTCCCTTTTCATTCGCAGTAATAGTAGACACTCAGTAGCAGGTACACTTAGTCGTGAACTGTGAACTAGTTCTTTCTAAGTCTCCCAGGGAGAAGCTTACTATAAATGTGAAGGTCTTAGTGTTGAGTAGAGGAGGAAGCAGCAATGGAATATAATCATCTGCCCCAAGATTACACTTTAGAGAAGTACTTTGAACGAAGCTATGTTTTTTTATTTGTAATGGGTGTGTTACTTCTTTTGAGAAGGCTTTTTACAATAGTATGATGGTTCCCCTGGAACTCATAGAAGGATTCGTTTTTGATCCTCTCCTGTATTTACAGCTGGCTTTTCCCCTAGGGAAGCATTCATCTGTTTGAAAAAGCAGAGAGAGAACACAAGAAGTTTTCTCAAACAGTGAAGTCTGGAAATCAGAACTGCATTTGCCTTTCAGGAGGGCAAGTTCTAAAGAGCCGTTGTTTGGGTGAGTGACACCCTCCCACCCCCACACACACTTGCATACCCTCCACCCAGAGGTTCCTTAATGGCAGATGTGAAGGAGTTTAGGACAGAGGGTGCCCATTATGGCTCCTTTGTTGTACCAGATGTAACATCACTTTTCAGTCCATTTTTCTGGCAGATCACTTTCTTGCCCTGAGTATTCACAGGCTGGTGTTGGCCCTGAAGGCCAGGGTCAGCCTGTGGTGATTGCACTTGAGTGTGGGGTCAGAGGCAGCATCTGAGAACATTTTGGGGTAGGAAGTATTTCTGATCGTTAGGACGTTTTCATCATACCAATGCTTCAAGGCCTTGGAGGTTCACCAGGCATTCAGATGAGGTTAGTAAAAGGGCTTAACCCTAATGCTCCTTACCCTCTTTCTGCACCCTTTTAACCAGCTAGCTGGTTATTGATAGGCATTTTTGTTTTGTTATGAGTAAGGGAGGAATTCTGCTTTGCAGTTGAGTAACTGTGCCTTCTCTTCAGATTTCTTTAGAGTTTACCCCGGAAAAGCTGATAAGCACTTTCTTCCATTCTGCACACACTGATCTAGAGTGGATGGCAGGCTAGAGTCTGGGGGACCTTCAGTAGCACATTGAAGGAGGATATGGAGGTGGCAGTAAGGGCAGCTGTGTCCTGTAGCTCCAGTGGCTTGGCCCCCTGGCTAATGGCCCATCCCCTGAGGCTGGGCCAGCGGGGAGGCCTGCAGCTTCCTTGAAATGAGTGTTTCCCCCAGCGAGGTTAGTGTGACCAGCCAGAGAAGGGGCGGGTGGTTCCTAGGGGAGAGGGTGGAGGACTCTTAATTTAAGCCTGCCTGGTTTGGCAGTAATTCAGACTCACCTATTTCTGTGTTGGCTGATAGTTCCCTTTAGCTCTCAGAATAACTCTTCTTCATTTCCAAGGGGGAGCCCATTTTTGCTAAAACACACCCTCTCCCAGAGCTACAACTTACCTTGAATATTACTGTATATGTCTTTTGCCTCCTTTTCAGAAAAGGCAGGTAGCCATTCCTGATTTTTCATAAGTTGCTCCTGCCTCGTTCCTGGAGACTAATGCTGCTGGGCTTCCTCATTTAGCAGGGGTCTGGACATGAGCCATTCCTTGGGTGCTCAGAATGGATGGAGCACAGTGGAGAACAGTGCTGGGGCTGGCACTCCATCTGAGAGGGCTCAGTGGTCAGTTTCTGATTGGGCGATATTTGTGTGAGCTTTGATTCTAAAGAGTTAGGAGAACTGAGTTCTGGTTCAGTCCCTAACAAACGCTGTGTCCCTGGGCAGGTCATGGGTCCATCTTTAGGCCTCAGATCTCTTAAAATGGAAAAATTGGGCTCTACAAGACAAACCTATGAGTCTGTCCCTGGTCAGGGCGATCAGAGGCATCAAAGGATGGGACAGAAGTTGCAGTTCCCAGTTCTCTGTTGCCTCCAGGATGTTGCATGTGCTCTTCCCTTTCCTTGGAATATTTCTCGTCCCCTCTTTACCCACCTCTTTCTGCTCTGCCTGGCTAACACCTTCCTAAAGTCAGTGTAAGCTTAGACTGCTGCCTGTATAGGTAGGAGTGTTCCTCCTTTGTGTTGCCATATTGTTCTACGCTCAGTACTTCTCCCCTGTATTACTGTCTGTTTTCCTTGTTTTTCTTGACCCTATCATGAACTTCAGAGGTCAGAGACTGTCTGCTGTCACCACTGGATCTTTAGTTGGATGGTGCAATTTCTTGAATGTGGCGAATGCTGAATGATTAAATGACCCTTCCCAGGCCAACACACCCCAGTCCAGTCTGGGAGCTGTTCTGGGTCTTCCCCTATCCCCAGCTCACCAAGGGCCTTTTTCCAATGAGCTGTTTGTTTGTGGGTGCTGGAAAACCTCAGGTAATGCTGAGAATTATTTTGGAGGTTCTTCTCATTGTGGCAAAGCATTGGGTGATGTTGCCACTTGCCCTGGGTACTCTTTCAAGGTATAGCTTTCATCTGGGATGGGCCCCAGACTTTGCCCTGTGTCTCTCCATCTCCAGACCTGGGAGGGGTGTGGGCAGACAGGTCTCTGCAGATTGCTGTCTTGGCCAGTTGCCTAGAGCTGGACCTTGCGACCTGTTGCTTGTGACCGCGATGGGGTGAGAGGTGAGCAGCAACCTAATCTCCTTCACTGCTCTAACAACTGGGCACAGACTAGTGTCCCTTATCCCCACATTCTGTCTTCTGTTCCAGGGCTCTGTTACGCTACTCTTCATCTCGGTCTTGCTTTTGTTCCAGCTGCTGCCCCCCACCTCTCTGCTAGGAGAATTCTTGCTGGATTTTTGTTTACTTCTGTGTGTGTGCTTTGCCCTTTAGCCCGTGTCCCCAAGAATCTTTATGTAATGTAAGACAGCAGCAGCAGCAAACAAATCAAAACAACTTTAGAAATGATACTTTGGACTCTTCTTGGTCTCTCATCGGATGCAAATGATGAATCTCTTTCCATCAAAGTTTGTACCTTTGGGTTCACCACCCATTTTTCCAACCTTCCTCCTGTGGAATCTGAATGGCAGGAGTGGGCCGAATTACTTAAAAGAAACGCTCTAATTTTTCTTGTACTTCAGGCTTTGCCTCTTTCTGGCCATGTGTGGACATAGGAAAGAGGCAAGGAGAAAGTTACCTATCCCCATTACTCTTAGTGTCCCCGGGTTTGCAGGTTCTGCACTGGTGTGGGGTGCAGCACATGGGCGGGGTGTACAACTGCAAGGAGGTGGGTTCAGGGGAGAATGTGGACAGAATCTTAAGATCCTCTTTACCAAGTGAAGAGGTGACAAAGCAGGGAATAGAAGGACAGCAAACTCTAAACCAGGACTTCTCAAACTTTAATTAAGCATATGAATACCTGGGCAATCTTATTAAAATGCATATTCTGATTCAGTGGATGGGGATGAAGGGTGAGATTCAGCATTTCTAATAAGCTCCAAGATGATGTGAGCGCTGCTCTTCCATAGCCTGTCCCCGTAAGTTAAATAGCAAGGCCCCAGCTTTCCTCCTCCCCTGAACACCCATGAAAATGATTGCCCTGGGTTAGGGAGGGTGGAGGCTGGTTAGGGCTTTCATATTTTAAACCTGAGAGTCTGGGCTGGGCTTTCAGCTAGTGTTTGCAGAGCTCTTTCCTGGGTCCCTTGTGCCTGATCCTGGCTACTTTGGAGCTCCCCTTTGGCCTAATTTGGTTTCCACAATATAAGAACCTCTGCCCTTAAGAGGGTGGATGTGCATATAACAAGACTGAATTCTTCCACATTCTCTTTGGCTCATTGTAAATAGATAAGGTCAAATGAAGTACTTCAAGTAGAATTTTAGAGCTGGAAGAACTCTTAAATCATTTTTTCTAACCCCTTTATTTTACTGAGGAGGAAATGGGCCCAGAAAAGTTTTGTGACATGTCCAGAATCAAATAGTTAGTAGCAGAGCTGGGATTAAAAGCCAGATGTCTGAACTCCTGATCTTCTCCCTCAGAGTTTGGGACAACTGGACAATCAGAATTTTGTTTTGAGTCCTGACCGGTGTGGCGCGATTGGTTGGGTGTCATCCTGGAAAGCGAAAGGTCACTGGTTCAATTCCCAGTCCCGGTAGGGGCGCTTAGGAGGGGTAACCAATTGCTGTTTCTCTCTCACATCGGTGTTTCTCTCCCTTTCTTTCTCCCTCCCCTCTCTGCTCTTTAAAAATAAATAAGTGAAATCTTTTTAAAAAAATGTTGTTTTGACAGCTGGAGGTAGGACAAGAAGCTTTCCAGTGATGTGATGGAATTTGTACTACATATATCTACTGGCATCTACTGCTGCAGCTCAGCATTCCCTTAGGCCAAGGTTCTCAGCAACAGCACTGTTGACATTTTGGGCCAAATAACTCTTTCTTATGGGGGGCTGTCCTGTGTATTGTAGGATGTTTAGCAGCATCCCTTGCCTCTACCCACTAGATGTCAGAAGGCCCCCGCCAAAAAAAGTTATGACATTCAAAAATACCTCAAGATGTTGCCAGATATCTTGGAAAGGGGTGTAAAATTGTTCCTAGTTGAGAACCACTAGTTAGGCAACAAGGTATTTGGGGAAGGAGGGTCCCTCTTGGGCACTTACTCTGGGGTTTTTTGAGTGTGTGTTGGTCTTAGGGTTACAAAGAAAGCATAAAACAGATGGGGCTCCAGTCTTCCTGGGATCTTACAGTTTAGTGATGAGACCAGACCAAGCAGTGCGTAGAACAGATACATTGCCATCTTCCTGGTCTGGCCAAGGTGTAGCGCGCCAAGCTGGCCTCTGACGAATGGTGTGCTAGCCCAAGGTATTTAGTGAGGAGGAGACTTTGCTGCCCTGGACTGGATTGTATAGCTAAGAACTGAGCAACTCTCATTCACATTTTCAGTTATTCTTACCTACTTGTCAAGGAGTATGTGTTCATTCTGAAAACATTTTATCTGAATTTGTAAAGGTCAGTCAGACACATTAACCAATAGATGTATACACTTGAAGAGAAGGAGGCCTACTTAAATCTGAAGCTGGAAAGGCTAACTCATTCCTTAATGAGATTTACTTTTTATTTCTAACTTGATTTTCTTCTGCTTTGGGATCAATCCTCCAACAGATCTTTTTGTCTCTTTTCCAGTGTGTTAAGCAATATTGCCGTAGGACTATTTCAGAGCTACAGTCTGTAATGCTCTGAATACATAGGTATACATAGGTATAAAACATGGGTAAATACCCCTTTTGTGAGCCTAAGAAAGGGTCTTTATCCCTTTTTTACTCCTCATAGGCTATTGTACTTACATATGTTTTTAAGGCCACTGAGACTGCCCCTCTGCCCCCACAGACTTTCCTGAAAAAACATTGTTCCAGAACACAAAAAGGATTAGTGATGGGAACTTCATAGTTATTGTCAACTTTGCCTTCACAGTATCAGATTAATTTTTTTTTCCAATACTTTAAACATGATACCCTGTTGCTTCCTGGGTTGCATTGTTTTTGATAATAAACTTGCTATA